GACTTACTGTAAAGTGTTTTTACTCAACTTGGAGTTTCGATTCGGGACCAAGTGAATCTTGTACAGAATTTTTCGCTGATTCCGAATATGTTTTCCAAATTTGCTACGGACCGTTATTCTGAAAGTTATACGGCAATTATGACCCTAGTTTTCACCAAAATGAAGGTATCGTTATAGTTTTCGATTTTCTCCATTAATTTCAACGTCAAAATTGACTAGACGTTGGCTCGACAAGCATCCTAAAGCTCAAAACAAGCATTTTAGATAAAAAAATGAGATTTTTATGCAAAAAGCAAAAGAAATCATGCAGGGCGGGGGTCCGAACCGCCGCCCTGCGCTTGGCAAGCGAGTACTTTGCCAATGTACCATGGTGCCAACTGGGTAGGGTGCTGTCAGAGGGTATTTCAGGGCCCCTGGAAACCATGGCCCCAAACAAGGAATAGTGGGCCAGCGTCTGAATTTTTGGCATTTTTCGGCCTAATTGTTACCAAAAATGATTTTTTAAATAAAAGTCCGTAGCAAATTTGGAAAACATATTCGGAATCAGCGAAAAATTCTGCACAAGATGCGCTTGGTCCCGAATCGAAACTCCAAGTTGAGTAAAAACACTTTACGGTTAGGCTTCGCTTTGGGCTTAGGCTTAGGCTTGGACCTAGACTTAGGCTCGCGCTCAGGCTTAGGATCAGGCTTAGAAATTCGAAAAGTACGAAAAACTTTGGATTCTCAGATGCCATTTGCTAGCCTGCCCTTTCAGGAGGAACTCCTCACATCAGTCAAAATCACTTCCAAACCAGGCTGTAGGGATGATAAAAAGGATCACGAAAGTCCATGTCGTTTGGCAAATCCGGATTTTGGTAAGTCATCTTCCTTCCTCAAAAAACATAGTGACTGTTCTAAAGTTTTCGTGGTATCACTTGCCCTTCTTGGAGACGCTTCTAGGGCCCGGATTTGCACCAAGCTGGCCCAAATCTGGGGGCGTGGCCCGCGAGGGACCTCTTTTTAAGCAGGGCTTGAAGCGAGGGAGATATCAGGCTTGTCGCAGATTCCGGTTTCCCAAAAAGTCTCTGCTAGCCTGCCCCTTCCATTCCCAAATGATCTCTGCTAGCCTGCCCCTTCCATTCCCAAATGATCTCTGCTAGCCTGCCCCTTCCATTCCCAAATGATCTCTGTTAGCCTGCCCCTTCCATTCCCAAATGATCTCTGCTAGCCTGCCCCTTCCATTCCCAAATGATCTCTGCTAGCCTGCCCCTTCCATTCCCAAATGATCTCTGCTAGCCTGCCCCTTCCATTCCCAAATGATCTCTGTTAGCCTGCCCCTTCCATTCCCAAATGATCTCTGCTAGCCTGCCCCTTCCATTCCCAAATGATCTCTGCTAGCCTGCCCCTTCCATTCCCAAATGATCTCTGCTAGCCTGCCCCTTCCATTCCCAAATGATCTCTGCTAGCCTGCCCCTTCCATTCCCAAATGATCTCTGCTAGCCTGCCCCTTCCATTCCCAAATGATCTCTGCTAGCCTGCCCCTTCCATTCCCAAATGATCTCTGCTAGCCTGCCCCTTCCATTCCCAAATGATCTCTGCTAGCCTGCCCCTTCCATTCCCAAATGATCTCTGCTAGCCTGCCCCTTCCATTCCCAAATGATCTCTGCTAGCCTGCCCCTTCCATTCCCAAATGATCTCTGTTAGCCTGCCCCTTCCATTCCCAAATGATCTCTGCTAGCCTGCCCCTTCCATTCCCAAATGATCTCTGCTAGCCTGCCCCTTCCATTCCCAAATGATCTCTGCTAGCCTGCCCCTTCCATTCCCAAATGATCTCTGCTAGCCTGCCCCTTCCATTCCCAAATGATCTCTGCTAGCCTGCCCCTTCCATTCCCAAATGATCTCTGCTAGCCTGCCCCTTCCATTCCCAAATGATCTCTGCTAGCCTGCCCCTTCCATTCCCAAATGATCTCTGCTAGCCTGCCCCTTCCATTCCCAAATGATCTCTGCTAGCCTGCCCCTTCCATTCCCAAATGATCTCTGCTAGCCTGCCCCTTCCATTCCCAAATGATCTCTGCTAGCCTGCCCCTTCCATTCCCAAATGATCTCTGCTAGCCTGCCCCTTCCATTCCCAAATGATCTCTGCTAGCCTGCCCCTTCCATTCCCAAATGATCTCTGCTAGCCTGCCCCTTCCATTCCCAAATGATCTCTGCTAGCCTGCCCCTTCCATTCCCAAATGATCTCTGCTAGCCTGCCCCTTCCATTCCCAAATGATCTCTGTTAGCCCCCCGACACTCCATTCAAGTCTTTGCTATTCATTCATTTCCAAGAGCCTCTCATTAATTTCCCCACAAAAATCTCGGCCTTCCAGGTATCAGGAGTTTTTGGAAGTTTGCATTTTTAGGCGTGGGAAAATTTCCTTTGTTCCCCGGTCAGCTTGAAAGGGCGGCGTGCCGGGACCCAATTAAGAGAAGGGGAGTAACGCTTCGTTTCACTCGGTTTTTTTGTTAACTACGAACCCCTTCCAGTCGGCGTCAAAGAGACCATGAAATTTTTAAGGATAACTCACTAGGGAAGTGCAAATAAAAAACCCAGCAAACCGCTTAGCAAAAACATGGGTCTGATAGAGTCGGCGACGGCGATTCCGAAACTGCAATCAGAATTTGCTAAACGCTTAATACAAAAAGTTATGAGCATTTTAAGTTTTGCAGCACTTTACTACGCCCTCCTTTATGAGCCTCTCCCAAAGAATGGTGTCCGCCTGTCGAGTGGTGTAGTGGCTAACTAGCCTGCCTCTTGGGCAGCGGGTCTCTGGTTCGGCTCCCCCGGTCCTGCAAAATTTTTTGCTTTTTGGTCAAAGCCAACAACTTTAGACTTTTCAAAGTTTCAAAGTCGAAAAGACCGTTCTCTTAATTTCTAAATTCATGAAACCGATTACAAAGTGATGGCGGGAGCGCAAGTACTTTTGCGGGTAGGGCACTAAAAAAATTCACCTTTGTTCGTAAGGTAAGCTTACAAGCAGTCAATAATAAAGAAAATGTTCAAAAATCTAAATTTCGGACTTCGAAACTTTGAAAAAGTCTAAAGTTTTTGACTTTGACCAAAAAGCAAAAAGTTTTGCATGCCCGGGGAGTCGAACCAGAGACCCTCCGCCCAAGACGCAGGCCAGTTAGCCACTACACTACTCGACAGGCGGACAACACTATTTGGGAGAGGCTCATAAAGGAGGGCGTAGCAAAGTGCTGCAAAACTTAAAATGCTCATAACTTTTTGTATTAAGCGTTTAGCAAATTCTGATTGCAGTTTCGGAATCCCCGTCGCCGACTCTATCAGACCCATGTTTTTGCTAAGCGGTTTGCTGGGTTTTTTATTCGCACTTCCCTAGTCAGAGTTTTAAATTTTTTTGGTAAATTCTCTCTCTCGCTCTCTCTCGCTCTCTCTCTCAATCCTCCTCCTAAAGGCCCATTTAAGCCAGTTTTAATCGCCCACAGCCCCTCCTCAAAATGACCCGTCTCCTATGCCCGGTTTTGCTGCCCTGCTTCTTGATGGGAATTAATACGAAGATCTTTTCTTCATCTGGAGAGGTACGGTAGTTGCGGGCAACTTTTAGGATCAACTGCAAACTTTAGTGCCCAACGTCTGGCGGACGCTGGTCTTGTATCGGGACGGGCTGTACTTGTGTCTTGGAGGTGAGTTCCAGCCCTTCGAAAATTTTCTTAAAGGGGCTAGAAAGCGGGGAAATCGAGGCCGGCTTAACCATAAGCAAGACCCTAAGCCCAAGTCTAATCCTAACTGTAAAGTGTTTTTACTCTCGTATTTCGTACTCGTAGTCACTTGGTCTCGAATCGAAACTCCAACTTGAGTAAAAACACTTTACAGTAAGCCTAAGTGTAAGCCTAAACCTGAGCCTAATTGTAAGGCTAAACGAAGCCCAAGGCTAAGCAAACCCTACCTACTGAATCTTACACTACGATTTTTTTAACCTTTAGGACCACGAAATTCAGGCTTTCTGAGATTGTAAGGTGCAAAATTACCTAAAAATCAAACAATTAGCTTCATTTTCAAGCTACAATTTCAAAATAGTTCTTGTAGAATTCTCGCCACCGTCTCGTCACCCTCCAAAAGCCAGACCTCATGGACCGACCTCGGCGTGTTGTTCAGCAGATGGTATGTATCTCTCACTCTCGCTCTCTCACCCTCTCACTCTCGCTCTCTCTCTCACTCGCTCACTCTCGCTCTCCCCCTATAGCTCTCTCTCTATCTCTCACCCTCTCTCCCTCTCCATCTCTCTCTCTCGCTCTCTCTCTCTCTAAATAGCTCTCTCTCTCTTTCTCTCTCTCTCTCTCTCTCTCTCTCTCTCTCTCTCTCTTTCTCTCCCTCTTTCTCTCTCTCTCTCTTCGTTCTATATCCCTTTCCTTTCAGTGGATGCCATTCCCTGATGACCGCCAGGGGTTCGTCAGCTGGCTGTCCGAGTATTCGGAGAGGAAATAAAATTGTTACAGGCACAAAAATGAGTTAATTTATATCAGAAATAAATTGTACGTGTACCACTGTAAATTGTGTGCTTCTGTAAGTCTCTGAAAACGATAAAAAACCAACGACGCACAAAAAATGAATCCCGAAAAAATTTGCGATAACCAAAATTTCAATGTTTCACATTTATTTCGAGACCTGATTTCGAGATGATTATTAGTTGGCTACTGTAGATAGCATTATCAAGAGCAAAATTATTAGTTTTGGATCGGAATGTCGATCAACTGATCGCCGATCCGAGCACATATCCGGCATCGACTCCCTGGGATCCGGTTTGGGCGCACGAGACCTGAAAAAAGGGGATATTGCCGGCGGATATTTTCGGTTTGGGTTTATGACCGGCTTTCTCTGTCTGTATCTCTGTCTGTCTGTTTGTCTCTCTCCCTATAAAAAACTAGACTTACGGTAGAAATTGCAACTTGATTCCCACCGGTCAGCACCGTCCACACGCCATTGGTACATTGAACCTGGAAATTCATCGTTTTTTCCAAACGTCTAGGGTATTGAGGCGGAATTGTTCGAAGAGAGAGAGAGAGAGAGAGAGAGAGAGAGAGAGAGAGAGAGAGAGAGAGCGATTGGCTGCGAGAGACCCCAAAATAATCTGTCTGCACCTGACAGGTCTTCCCGCCGTCGTGTATGCCAATCCCACGTGCCATACTTGTCTTTTTGAAGCAAACTTTTGAGGGAAAAGGCACGAGGAAGTTACTATTTAAAGTTACTACGGCGAACCATCTTAAAGTTTTCAGGGCTTTTAAAGGTATCGGAAAGTGCTAGAATCGTTCCCGGTTTCAGCTAGCTCTCGATAGCTACAAGACGCGCCTAAAAGCGCTTGAAAAAACCCCTAGAATTTTACTTCAAGTGCAGGTCCCAGATATTGGTATAATGCAGCTCGCGACCTGGGTCGATTTCAAGTTTTCTGGTACCTTTAAACTGATTTTTTTCACTTACCTTTACTGCCAATGAGGTCCCTCCATTCGTCACCGTCCTAACCACGGCTCCGGTTGAGTCGAAAAATTGAATTTGCATCCCCTCGGGCTAAAGGAGGGTCGCGTAGTCGTAGTTTTTAGTCAAAAAAATTATTACATTTGTATCCGGAGCGGCATCGCAGAAGACGACGCCATCGATTGGGCACGTTGAGGACATTCTCCTGAAAAATGGAAGGACTAGCTTTTGGCTCGTTTTATATAGTTTTCTCTTCGTCGCTCTCTCTCGCTCTCTAGCTCTTGCTCAACCGCGCTCTTTCTCCCTTTCTATCTATTTAGCTCTCCGTCTCAATCTCTCCCTCTCTCCTTCTCTCTCTCGCTCACAGTCCCTCTCTGCCTCGCCTATCTTTCTCTCTCTCTCTCGCTCTCTTTTACTGTCTCTTTTTTGCCTAGCACTCGCTCTCTAGCTCAATAGCTCTTGATCCATCTCTCTCTCCCTCTGTCTATCTCTCCACCCGTCTTTGTGTCCCTATCGTTCTCTCACTCCCTCGCGCACTCTCTCTCTCTCTCCCTCATCTCTCTCGCTCTCACCTCAAAATTGAACACTGCTCAAATGTGTCCAAATTTGTTGGTGCTCTTCTTGGCAGTGCAGAGGTAGACAGCATTCCGCAGCATGCTGAAAATCAGGAATCCAATACAGTACGCCGGATATGCAAAAAAACAAATTCCACACACATTCGCTAACTGGGTTACGGTAACGGGTGCGTGCTTTAAAATTAGCTCTACTTTACAACCAGCAATTTCTAGCTTAATTCATTTCTCTTACGCGGCAGGGTTGTGGTGGTGGTGGTGGCTAAATAGCGTTAATGTTCTACTCAGGTCCGTGCTTCCACCCGAATTCCGTATGGATTCCACCTGGATTGCGGGTGGAAGGCATGGAAATCGATGGGAAACGGGGGCGGATGAGCGGAAAGGGGGCGGAAGCACGGGGAGGACCGGGGGGCGGATCCGAAGGGACCATCGGAAACCGATGGGAAGTCGATCGGATCCGATCGGTTTCCTCTCAATTTCCGATCGGCGATCGGATTTCTGCTGCTTCCACCCCAAATCCACCCGGAAATCGATGGCAAACCGGGGTGGATTCGATCGACTTCCCATTGATTTTCCGATTGCTATGGGAAATCGACCGGATTTGGGGTGGAAGCACGGACCTGAGTAGAATGTCAAAAACAGATATCTTCGAATTTATGCTAGGCTACAGTACCCTCGGCCGTTTAAAATAGTCTTTAAAAAATCTTACGTGCGGTCGTTGTAGGAGGAATAGTAGGGACACAAGCATACGCCGATGAGATCAAGGCGAAAAATAATAAGGAGGCGACCATGTTGCTAGGTGATAACTGTTAACCCGTTGTAGTTTGTAGTACGTGGCCTCGGACTAAACTCCGGAGAGGCGCCTAAAATTTGATTATGGGAAGTGAAAGAAGGCGAAAGAGAGAAAGGGAGAGTGAGAGAGAGAGAGAGAGAGAGCGAGATAGAGAGATAGGAACACTGACATGAGCATGCTCGCAGCGCTTCTCCCGCAGGGTTAGCATATAGTTTGCGACATTTCGCGCCAAGCTAAGGATCGAAAAAGCTCGGCAAGCTAGCAGAGATTTTTTGAGAAGCACGAGCAAATATCATTGCGGCAGGCATCTACCAAAGTTAATATTTTTGCTGGCAAGCAGCGACGCTTGAAGAAACAGCCAATCCAGAGAGTGGGCAGGCTAGCAGAGACCATTGGGGAGCCACGAAGCAAAATTATGGACGGCCGGCCAGCAGAGATTCCTTAAGGAATTTCTGTAAAAAAAAAACCCGGCAAAGGCCTGTGAGGAATTGCTGCCCCAAACCAGTAAAAGGCTGGCTAGCAGAGGTTCTTCAGGTATTTAGGAAAGTTTAGTAGTAGGTTTCGGCTTATTCTTGGTCTTAGGCTTCGGCTGGGCTTAGCCTCGGCTTAGGCTTAGGCTTGGGCTTAGGCTTGGCTTAGGCTTAGGCTTAGGCTGTGGCTTAGGCTTAGGCTTGGCCTTAGGCTTAGGCTTAGGCTTGGCTTGGGCTTAGGCTTAGGCTTAGGCTTGGACTTAGGCTTAGGCTTAGGCTTAGGCTTAGGCTTAGGCTTAGGCTTAGGCTTGGGCTTGGGCTTAGGCTTGGGCTTGGCTTAGGCTTAGGCTTATTCAGGAAAGTTTAGGATATAAATTAACAAGCCGTTCATAGACCAAAACCGGAAAAAGAGTAACCTGCCCGCCCGCGGAGGGGGGGGTTGACCAGCGAAAAATGGCGGTTTTAGCCGGCCGGGGGTCGATGTAGGAAATCAGGACTAGCCGGGGCGGAGGTGGGCAAGGGGACACGGCACAAAAACAGTCCAATATTCCGGATGATTACCGGAATCTACCCCCCCTCACCCCGAGTGATCTCGACCCCAAAAAAGGAGATTCTCAATCAAAGCTCCCCCGAAGCGAGAGCGGGAATTGCCCCGCTGTTGCTGGGAGCCCGAGGGAAAGTGTGAGCTGCAGAACGGAGCCGGCCATTGAAAACGTTATTTTAAAGGGACTGGGAAGGCAGGCTAGCAGAGATTTTTGAGGAAAAAACCAAGGAATTGGAATTGCCATTTTAAAGGTTCTAGAAGAGAAAACGACAGCGATGAGCACGATTCTTGAAACTAGCTCTCTCTCTCTCACTGTCTCACTCTCTCGCCTTTTCACCCACTCTCTCTCTTGCGCTCTCACTCTCTCGCTCTCGCGCACTCTATTCGTCTCTTTCTCTCTTTTTCTTTCTCTCTCCCTCTCTCTCTCTCACCCTCACTGGACATGCATCCTCAAAGGCAATAATTTATTAAGCAAGAACCACCCCCATAAAGTGGTTTAAAAACAAACAAAAGGTATGTAAAAGAATTTGTACAAAAGCCGTCTATTTTCGTGGCACCATATTCGTCTTCAGATGAGATTTTAGGGCCGATGGTGGGCAGTAGAGGGTCTGATTGTGATGCCCGGATCGTAGCGAGCACTTCAGCGTATTCTGGCATTCAGCATTGCACGTCGTCGGGTCGGTACGGGTCGCTAGTCTGACAAATATAGCTGGAGAGGGAGCGCGCGAGGAAGAGAGAGAGATCGAGAGAGAGAGAGAGAGAGAGAGAGAGAGAGAGAGATAGAGGGAGAGAGAGAAACCAACCTGAAAAAGTCATCATGAACCTCTTCTTCCTCAAAAATCTGCTTGATGACTCCGTTCCAGCTCTTCGGCGACAGATCGGTGAGGTTGTATTCGGTCTAAAAAATTGAAGTAATCAAAAAGAATATACGATTGACTTCCACTGTCCTTTAAAACGGCAGGCTAGCAGAGATTCCTTAGGAAAGAGGCAGTCTAGCAAAGATTCTTTAGGAAAGGCTAGCAGAGATTCTTGAGGAAAAGGGCAGGCTAGCAGAGATTCTTTAGGAAACGGCAGGCTAGCAGAGATTCTTTAGGAAACGGCAGGCTAGCAGAGATTCTTGAGGAAAAGGGCAGGCTAGCAGAGATTCTTTAGGAAACGGCAGGCTAGCAGAGATTCTTGAGGAAAAGGGCAGGCTAGCAGAGATTCTTTAGGAAAGCGAGGCTAGCAGAGATTCTTTAGGAAACGGCAGGCTAGCAGAGATTCTTGCGGGAAAAGGGCAGGCTAGCAGAGATTCTTTAGGAAACGGCAGTCTAGCAAAGATTCTTTAGGAAAGGGCAGGCTAGCAGAGATTCTTTAGGAATCCATACCAATGCCGAGTAAAGCTTTGTCCACACTGGCGGATGAGTCTGGTCGGCCTTGCTGAGATCGGTGGAGAACGTGTCGAAGTTGGTGACTGCCTAAAGTTGCCTTAGATACCGTAATCTAGACCCTTACAAAGCCCTTTTCTGGGTCCACCGTATAGATTCGGAATGCCGGGTTCAGGCCCTCGAACGTCGTGGCCGAGGGCGTGGCGTAGAGGACGCCGACCTAAAAATCCTGGGATTGTTAGAGGCAGTCTAGCAGAGATTCTTTGCATTTTTCCATCTTCTCAAGCCATTGGCAAGCTAGCAGAGATTATTTGGGACAACAAAACTCACCGGCTCCGAAGCCACGTTGTGCATGTCCTCATAGAAGACCGTAAAGTAATCCCAGTGGACGTGCCCGAAAAATTGGGCTTGGATCGTGTCGTTAAACCTAGAATCGGCGTGGGTTTGGCTCAAGCCTAGGCTTAGGCTTAGGCTTAGCCTTAGGCTTAGGCTTAGGCTTAGGCTTAGGCTTAGGCTTAGGCTTAGGCTTAAAAACTACCTTTGTATAACCTTGTAGTAGTTCCGAGCCCATCCCTCCAAACACTCGCCATCACCCGGTGGGATATGGCCCAGAATGTGGACTTTTTCGCCTGCTTCTTCTGCCTGAAAACGATTGATTAAAGAGAGAGAGCCGGAGAGAGAGAGGGGGGAGAGAGAAAGAAGAAAAAAGAGAGGGAGAGATCGAGGTCCATCACCTACCTTCAAAAGTTCAGCAACAAACCACGACATTGTTCCATCAGGATCGCTCTGGTTCAAGTATAGGAAGCTGAAAAAATTATTTGCATAATCTTTTAGCTTCGGTCGTCGATTTCAAGCAGTTCGAAAGTCTAACTCAAATCAAAAAGACTCACAAATTCGTCGTCTCGCAGAATCCCGTGTTTACAGAAATCAAACGGAGCCCTTTCGTGAGTACGGTAGAGTATGAGCCGCGGCTAAAAATGAGCATTCTCTCTCTATCCCCCCTCTCTCTCTCTCTCTCTCCCTCTCTCTCTTCAAAATTGACTTACTACATAGCCGTCGAATTATTTTCGGCATCCATCCAGGGCGCGGAAATGTTAAGAAAAGCTTGGTACAGCCATGTTGGGATGAATTTGGCAGGGGCAAAGTGGGGCGCGAAGCTAAAAAATAGCTTTCTCTGTATTTATCTCTCTCCCTCTCTCTCCCTCTCTCTCGCTCTCTCTATTTCTCTCTCGCTTCATGTCTTCACTTACTTGTTAACAGGAACGCCCTCATGGTTTCCAAGCGCCCAGTAAGTTGGAGTATCCGGGAAATACTTGGCGATCAGGGAGGAGAGGTTGTGCAGGACGTGGAGGTGCTCCTAAATTTTTAATGATCTCTGCTAGCCTGCCCCTTCCATTCCCAAATGATCTCTGCTAGCCTGCCCCTTCCATTCCCAAATGATCTCTGCTAGCCTGCCCATTCCATTCCCAAATGATCTCTGCTAGCCTGCCCCTTCCATTCCCAAATGATCTCTGCTAGCCTGCCCCTTCCATTCCCAAATGATCTCTGCTAGCCTGCCCCTTCCATTCCCAAATGATCTCTGCTAGCCTGCCCCTTCCATTCCCAAATGATCTCTGCTAGCCTGCCCATTCCATTCCCAAATGATCTCTGCTAGCCTGCCCCTTCCATTCCCAAATGATCTCTGCTAGCCTGCCCCTTCCATTCCCAAATGATCTCTGCTAGCCTGCCCATTCCATTCCCAAATGATCTCTGCTAGCCTGCCCCTTCCATTCCCAAATGATCTCTGCTAGCCTGCCCCTTCCATTCCCAAATGATCTCTGCTAGCCTGCCCCTTCCATTCCCAAATGATCTCTGCTAGCCTGCCCATTCCATTCCCAAATGATCTCTGCTAGCCTGCCCCTTCCATTCCCAAATGATCTCTGCTAGCCTGCCCATTCCATTCCCAAATGATCTCTGCTAGCCTGCCCCTTCCATTCCCAAATGATCTCTGCTAGCCTGCCCCTTCCATTCCCAAATGATCTCTGCTAGCCTGTCCCTTCCATTCCCAAATGATCTCTGCTAGTCTACCCTCACCTCAACGGTATAATCCCAATCAGCATGGTTGACAAAATCGCCCGACAGCAGCACGTAGTCTACCTAAAAATTATTAGTTTTAACGGCCAACCTTTCTCAAAGAATCTCTGCTAGCTTGCCCTACTTACCCAGAGCGTCCGGTTAATATGGTCCAGCATATTTTCGAGGGTTCGGTGTGGAATGTCACAAGCCGCTACAGTACCCCAGTAGCCGGCTGGCAGGGCTGGGGTTGCTGAAAAAGGTTGGCTAGGCTTAGGCTCCGGCTTATGCTTAGGTTTAGGCTTAGGCTTAGGCTTCGGCTTCGGCTTAGGCTTACGCTTACCCGTTTCGGTATGACAGCAAATCGGTTCGTCGCAGCGCGCCTCACTTCCGGCCTTGTAGTCAAAATCCACGTGCAAATCGGAGAGTTGCAGCACGCGAATCGAGTCGGTTTTTGGCGGTTTTGCTAAAATTCTTGACTTCACCTGTATTTTGAATGGGCTAGGAACTACAAAATCGACCACCTCGTTGGACTGGGTCTTGACAGCCATGCGACACCCCAAAACACGAAGCAATCTCATTAATTCAGCGCGTAGAGAAAAATTTGGCGCGTGTTTTGGAGTGATGTGTAGCTGTCGAGACCTAGTCGATCGAAGGGGTCGATTCTCACGCTTTTGATCTCACTAAAGGGATCATGACAGGAGGACATTTTAAGTTTGCAGATCTACCTGGTGATGGTAGGGTTTTGGGGCGTGGCGGGATCTGCACCTGCCATCCGGACTGGGTCGGGTCGTTCGGATCGGCGCAATCCGGGAGCAAGAGGCCGCAAATCTAAAAGGATTCTGAAAGCGAAAGAGAGAGACGGAGAGGGAGAGAGAGAGAGAAAGAAAGATATCTCTAACCTGTGCGCTCGTCAAATCCATCTGCCGAAAAACGTAGAAGAATTCTTCCTAAACAATTTTTTCTAAATTTTCAGTTAAATTTCCCACCCGAAATTGCGTACTAATCCCTCCACAAATCGCCCACGTCTGATGTGCAAACAATTTGCATATAGCCTGGGCGAAGAGGAGAATGGCTCCCTCGCTCTTGTCGAACTTGATGATCAGCCTAAAAGCATGGATTTTAATGGATTTTAGAGGTCCTGGGAAGTCAACGTTTTTCATCGGCTAGGTCTCGACAGCGATGCAAAGTGCCAAAGTGCCAAATTACGCTCGATGAGTCTATGTGTGTACGGAAAACCCAATTTTAGGGCGTCGGCAACAGGTTTAAAACGTATTTTCGCGGGTCACGTATGTGTCTAGACCTAGTCGGTTAGGGGGTCGAATTTTGCCCCTACTGGATCCTACCATGACAAAATTATGCTAATTACCTGGCCCCCTCGACCCCGACGATGCAAGCAGTGCAACTCGGCATCCAGCCGACCGGCTTTTCCTCGTTTTTCGATTTTACTAGTTGAGCTTTGTAGGGGTCTAAAAATAATAAGTGGTCTTTCTAGCTCTCTCTCTCTCTCTCTCTCTCTCTCTCTCTCTCTCTCTCTCGCTCTCTCTCCTCTCTCTCTCTCTCTCTCTCTCTCTCTCCTCTCTCTCTCTCTCTCCCCCCCTCTCTCTCTCTCTCTCTCTCTCTCTCTCCCTCTCTCTCTCTCTCTTGCTCTCCCTCTCTCTCTCTCTCTCGCCTACCTCGTTTCGAATAATAATTTGGTCCGGCCAAGACCGTAGCCAGGCAAAGACAGCAAAAAAGAAGTCGAAACGCTTCCCGAGTTTTCATCTGAAAATTGTTATTTTGTAAAAAAAACATATCAAGCGTTTAATCGGACATAAAAGTTTAATCGGATATTTTTCCACCTAAAGATATAGCTAGCATTTAAGAATGTTTCATTAAAAAAGCCAGACAAAATGAAAGGTTTTAGCGGAGCGTAATATCCGGGGATCCGGTTTCGCGACCCCTCGAGGATCGATTTCGGGCTGAAAGCAAGTGGAACACATCTGGTGGTCATTTGAACGAGACGAGGTAGTCGAAGAAATGATCATTAATGATAGGCTACAGACTACGAAAATTGCAAAATCTGATAAATTCCATTTTCTAAAATACGAGAATTGATTTCTTGGGAACTAATACGGTTTAAAAGCGAATCTACAAATTTAAGGCTAAGAAACGCGCCAGAAAATGAGAAACTGCTGGAAATAAAGTTTTTCTATGCTAAAAAATGCCCAAAAAGTTGCGACTAGTACACGTGACTCGATGACAATTTGGAAACACGGCCCAGACACTCGCACGGCCCAATATAAACTAAAATGCCCGACAAAAAAAGTGGGCGAATTTCTAAACAATGTCGAAAGCAAGGGGGTGTTCACTTCAGTTGGTCTTGTTAAACTTGCTCTCTCTCACTCTCTCACTCTCTCTCTCTTTCTCCCGCTCTCTATTTCGCAAGCTCTTGCTCTATATTGTTGAAACTTCCACGATTTTCCGCCAATATTCTCGGCCTGCATGCCTTGAAATATCTCACGGAAGCCAGACAGCAAGGTTAGCGTCTCGAGATCCATCTCCTCAAAATTCTCTGCTAGCCCGCCCTAAACAGTTAAAAAAACGCAATAAAAAGATCTTCCTTCCTTTACCTCGAAAAAAACCCCTCAAGGGCCCTGCTTGTTGTTGCCAGACCATTTGTCGGTATTTTTGGCGAATTTAGAGACAGTGTTTTTTGAGAACTCGGGGCCAGCTAGCAGAGATCCTTTGCGAGGCCTGAGGTTCTCTCATTATCCCTTTTCTCTCTCTCTTTCTCTCTCTCTCTCTCTCTCTCTCTCTCTCTCTCTCTCCCGTTCTATTTCTCTCTCATGTTTTCAGAGCCTTTTATCAAATCATTTTCTTTGCAACAATCCCCGGCTCCCGGCCATCAGCCAGTATTCAAATTAGCATATTTGCTTTTCCCACGCCCGTATCTCGGATTGGCCGGGTAGCAGGGGGGCCACCAAACTGATAATGGTTTGTTTTGGGTTGATTGGTGGGAAAGCGAGAGAGCGAGAGAGAGAGAAAGATAGAGAGAGAGAGACATCAACCAGCTTGTGCATATTGTCCATGGTTTCACGATGCTCCCCCCTTGACACGATACCCCATCGGGAACGCGCGCCTCCCAAGATAAACTCATTTCCGCGGCGCACCCGCCGCCTTACGACCGTTTTATGTGCGAATCGAGTCGGGAGGAGCGGCGCGCATCGCTCGAATCGTCGACCACAAAAAAACGATTCCGCAACATTCCGCGTGGGTGTACGGTAGTGGAATCGTCGTAGCGGCTGTCGATCATATCGAAACTTTAGCAGAGTTTTCCGCAAGAATATCTGCTAGCCTACCTTGCGCAGGAGTATAAGGGCGCAGGGCCAGTAGCTGATTTCGTATGTGTCACTGCTCGTTCCGGCTTTCTTCAAAAATGCCTGCTAGCCTGCCCTGTGGCTTCAAATCAAAACACCCTTCTGAAAAAAGATTATGAAATGCTCCACGCAGGTATACGGTATCCGGCTGGCCTCCTCAAAGATCTCTGCTAGCTCTCCTTGCCATTGTAGCAAAGATAGAGCAATATTCCCTGAAAAGTCTCTGCCAGTTCTTCCTGTCTCTCTCTCTGGCTCACTCTCGCTCTCTCTCGTTCTCTCACTCTCTCACTCTCTCCCTCTCTCTATGTCTCTGTCTCTCTCGCTACCTCTGTCTCTCTCTACCTCTGTCTCGCTCTCGCTCTTATTTCTATCTCGCTCTCTCTCGCTCCCTCTCGCTCTCTCTCGCTCTCTCCCTCTTTCTGTCTCTGTCTCTCTCTACCTCTGTCTCTCTCTCGCTCTTTCGCTATCTCTCGCTCTTTCTTTCTATCTCTCTCTCCCTCTCTCTTTCCCTCTCTCACTCTCTCCCTCTGGCTTTTTTAAGGATATCTTGTAACAAAACATGTCCGAAATTCATTTATCAACACACACGGGGTCACAAAATACAGTGTCAAACGAGAAAGAAAAACGATCAATTTGTGAGGCACCAGAATTTGCATAAAATAAGCACCCAGAAATCCAATAAAAATGCTTGTAACGGAAAAAACAATATTCTTTTACCCATAGTAGCAACGGAAAGCTGGTGGTGGTTTTTTTTGGGGGGGAATTCAGGGGTACGGTAGTGATACCGTAGGGAGGTGTTCGGTGTCCAAAAAATAGATTTGCTAGAGAATTTTTAGATACCGTAACATGCCCTAATTTGCATAAAAATTGGCAAAAAATATCGAAAATTAGCATAAAATCAGATGAGCAATAGATGGCAAAATATTTGGCAAGGGGAGGGAAGGCAGCGGTGGTAGTGGAATTCAGAGGTGAGAACAATGTGGAGCAGGGAACCCGAAAATTAGCATAAAATGGTGGGATTAGCATCAGAAAATTGATGAAATTAGTATAATTTGAATTGGCGGAATCAATTATTGCAGATTTTTGCCATCAAGGTACATTTGGCTTCGGCTTAGGCCTAGGCTTAGCCTCAGGCTTGGCTTCGGCTTAGGATTGGCTTTAGCTTTAGCCTAAGTTCCTTAAAACTACAGTAAGCCGACCAATTCAATGCGTAGAAAATATAAAAGACATTCAAATATGCAAAAAATACAACACACGAGGAAAAATTACAATTTAAGGCTAGGCCCGGGAGATCTGCAAAAAGCCATTTTTCTAGAAACTCTAGAAACTTTTTTTTTGGTCTAGACAATTGGGGGTCTAAAAGTTGGCAAAATGCCATTGCTATCGTAATTAAAATATCTTAAAAATGAAAAAACAAGCGAAAAGACGCTTAAAAAGGGCGCCAAAGCTTGGCCTTCTTGGCTGGCGAAGGGCCGGCTTCCGCTTCGGAATGGCTGTCGTCATCGTCGTCGTCAGTCTGGAAATGATCAGGTTTTTAGTTTCCTGAAAAATCTCTGCTAGCCTGCCCCTTCAATGCCCAAATGATCTCTGCTAGCCTGCCCCTTCCATTCCCAAATGATCTCTGCTAGCCTGCCCCTTCCATTCCCAAATGATCTCTGCTAGCCTGCCCCTTCCATTCCCAAATGATCTATGCTAGCCTGCCCCTTCCATTCCCAAATGATCTCTGCTAGCCTGCCCCTTCCATTCCCAAATGATCTCTGCTAGCCTGCCCCTTCCATTCCCAAATGATCTCTGCTAGCCTGCCCCTTCCATTCTCAAATGATCTCTGCTAGCCTGCCCCTTCCATTCCCAAATGATCTCTGCTAGCCTGCCCCTTCCATTCCCAAATGATCTCTGCTAGCCTGCCCCTTCCATTCCCAAATGATCTCTGCTAGCCTGCCCCTTCAATGCCCAAATGATCTCTGCTAGCCTGCCCCTTCCATTCCCAAATGATCTCTGCTAGCCTGCCCCTTCCATTCCCAAATGATCTCTGCTAGCCTGCCCCTTTCCATTCCCAAATGATCTCTGCTAGCCTGCCCCTTCCATTCCCAAATGATCTCTGCTAGCCTGCCCTTCCATTCTCAAATGATCTCTGCTAGCCTGCCCCTTTCCATTCCCAAATGATCTCTGCTAGCCTGCCCCTTCCATTCCCAAATGATCTCTGCTAGCCTGCCCCTTCCATTCTCAAATGATCTCTGCTAGCCTGCCCCTTTCCATTCCCAAATGATCTCTGCTAGCCTGACCCATCCATTCTCAAATGATCTCTGCTAGCCTGCCCCCTTCCATTCCCAAATGATCTCTGCTAGCCTGCCCCTTTCCATTCTCAAATGATCTCTGCTAGCCTGACCCATCCATTCTCAAAAAATCTCTCCAAGCTTGCCAGATCAAATCAGCAAAACTACCGCACCTCAACAACATCAATTGGTCTGGGCCTGGCAACGGGTGTCGTAGGTTTTTGGTGTTGCGTGGAGCTGAAAATATATAGATTAAAAAATCATGAATTTTCCGTTTCCAAAAAGCTACTGTATTTCTCTTTGTCCTCCGGAGGCTTGAAAAACGCACCGTGTGCTGCCCAAACTCGTGTCCGCTTCCGGAGAGCTACCGTAGGCGGATTCTGGCGTGGCTGGGGAGAACTTCGCGATGGTACCGCCTGAAAATTCAGTTTTGAAAGTTCAGGAACATTTAAGGCAAAATGGGTCAGATTTAGTTGCCGGAATTTTATAAAATTACTACAAAAATATTATAAAAAAACGTTTTTCTGTACCTGCTGGAATCGGTGAGACCAATTTTGCTGTCGTAATCAGTGGGTTTGGAGGTTGAAATCCGATTGTTGATGCGGGAGGGTTTTGGATTTGTCTAAAATTTAGGGAATATGGTTAAATTTAGGTTTCTACAGAAAGTAGGCATACAAGGCTTAGCAATCGGCTTAGGCATAGGCGAGGCGCAGGCTTAGGTTTCGGATCAGGCTTAGGCTCAGGTTTAGGCTTAGGCTTGGGCTTAGGCTTAGGCTTAGGCATAGGCATCGGCTTACCTCAACATATTGACGAATTCCAGATGAAATTGCTGCGCTTGGGGGCCGGATTGGGGTGGGAAGGCCTGGCACAGATATTGTTGCGCGTAGCGTCCCGTAGTCTCCCACGCTAGCGTGTAGCCGCGCTTGAAGTAGGCGGCGGCTTCTAAAATGGTGAGTAATTTTATCTCTCTCTTTCTCTCTCACTCTCTCTCACTCTCACTCTCTCTCTCTCTCTCTCTCTCTCTCGTTCCATCGTAATCACCAACCCTCTTTGGAGCATGACGATCGATTCCCTCGTGCCTCATCCTCCAGCCGCTTAATATAATCGACCGCCATCTCCAGAATGTCAGCTTTTTCGAGTTTTGAACTAAAAAAGGTCAATTTTCTCAATCAGTTTATTTTTAAGAGAGAGAGAGAGCGAGCGAGAGTGAGAGAAAGAAAGAGAGAGAGCGAGAGAGAAATTGCAAACTTACCTCTGCGTCGTTGTCGAGTGCATCAATAGGGCCTTGATCTGGTCCAACGAGCTGTTGATCCGCTCCCGCCTCCGCTTCTCCATCAACGGCTTTTTGAGCTGAGTTTTCGGGTTAGGTTATGCTTAAATTAGGCTTGGGCTTGGGCTTGGGCTTAAACTTTTATTTGAGGCTTCGGAAAAGCTTGGGCTAGACTTAGGCTAGGATTTTGGTGAGAGAAAGTGATAGATAATTTATCAGCTCAACTGGCTTCGTTTTGCGCCATGGAAAGCTTGAGAATTTTCGGAAATGCCGAAATTATATTGCGTAGCTTCAGGACGTTTATCTTTCTCTCTCTCTCTCTCTCTCTCTCTCCCTCTCTCTCTCTCTCTCACTCGCTTTCTCTCGCGCTCTCTCGCTCTCTCTCAATGTTTAGTTTTCAAATCATTTATCGCTTCCCAGCTGCCCTCTCCTATCCACTACACATCACCGCTTAGCGCCCAGATCTACCCTCCAGCTACCAATTTCTATGCCACCACCTGCCGTCGGGAAAAGTTGTAAAAGGTGTTGTCACTGGGTTTGATGGTTTTTCTTTAATTGTTGCAAGACAAACGCGCCGAAATGGCCTCCGGATAATTCGGAAATTTAAATTTTCGAGGGCTCTCCGGGGATTTAAAGGGAGCGTGACAGTAAGCAAAAATTCAGGATTTTTAGAAATGGTGTTTACGAAACGTCGATTGTGGGGGGCTTAAATGGAGCATGACAGGAAAGCGTGAAAAGCTCAATAATCTAAACATTTGAAAAATGTGGAAAATTAATATTTTTTTCTGTTTTCAAGGGTGTGGGACAGCTCGGCTTCAAATAAAAATCAAGCTCCAGGTATTACAAGACAGCAAAAAAAACGAAACACCAGAAAAATCACTAAAATCTTGGATCTTGAAGCTATTGCTGGTTTTAAAGGCGGCGTGACAACAAGGGAAGTGTATAAAAATTGCCTAAAATACGCAAAAAAACCCAAAATAATACAAAATTTACAAAATTGACGTCTGTCGCATTCAAGGGAGTGTGATAGCCGGAGAATTTTTCAGGAAAAGGTTTAAATCAGCAAATATTGAATAAAGTTAAGATCCTCTTTTTCAGGATTTTAAAGGGAGCGTGAGAGCAAAAAAATGGCTCACCTTTCGCTCCAAATTGTCCAGTCCATCGTAGGAGGGGCTGGTGGAGGAGGATGGATAGGGAGGCGCGTAGGAATACATCTGAAAAAAATCATAATTAATTACAGGGTGGCCAGAAAAAAAAGTGCCTGGTTTGCACTGAAATATCTCGCTAGGGGAAACGAATCGAACCATCGTTACCATGCCAGAATGCTTAAATATGCTGGGTATGAAGAATAAACACAAGTTACTTTTTACGATTTTTGACGACCCTCTACTCGTTAAAAAGTCTTGAACATTTTTAAAAAAGTAGAAAACTTTGAAGACGAAAATAATGGAACTTTTAATGACTTAGCCGGACATGAAAGGTATCAAAATGAAGCTCTTGACATGCGCTATTAAACCTATGGTAAAGAATAACGATCGGTTTAACTAGCCGTCAAAAGTAGCGTTCGGAAAATCGGGACTTTTTGGAGAAATAATTCTAGATAAAATTTCCTTACCATCCGATATGTCTAATATTTTGCAGTTAGCAATACATAAATAACTACTAACTTTTGGCATTAACATTGATAAAATCGCAATCAAAAAAATTTTTGGCACTTTGCCAAGTCGACGGAATTTGGAAGTTCTAGGCTGTTTTAGTTAAAACTATAACATGGTTATCTTTGGCAACTAGGATTACATGTAACAAGTACAAAAAGTTATGGCGTCGATGCGGTTTCTATGGTCAATTCGGAATCGCCCATTCTGAAAAAGTCCCGATTTTCCGAACGCTCCTATTGACGACTAGTTAAACCGATCAAAATTCTTTACCGTAGGTTTGATAGCGCATGTCAAGAGCTTCATTTTGATACCCTTCATGTCCGGCTAATTCATTAAAAGTTCCATTATTTTCGTCTTCAAAGTTTTCTACTTTTTTAAAAATGTTCAAGACTTTTTAACGAGTAGAGGGTCGTCAAAAATCGTAAAAAGTAACTTGTGTTTATTCTTCATACCCAGCATATTTAAACATTCTGGCATGGTAACGATGGTTCGATTCGTTTCCCCTAGCGAGATATTTAAGTGCAAACCAGGCACTTTTTTTTCTGGCCACCCTGTAGAGAGGGAGAGAGAGAGATGGAGAGAGAGATAGAGAGAGAGAGAGAGAGAGAGAGAGAGAGAGAGAGACAATGTGAGGTAGCAACAGATAAGATGTTGCCAGACGTGTCTCGGAATCGATATACGGTACTTCATCGGGAGGTGGCCACGGCGAGACCGTTAAACCGCGCAGTTTTTACGTCTGGGAAAACGCGTCGTAATTTGAATAAAACGGCCGGCGATCGGTTGCGAACCGCGGAGTGTAGCGGAATCTGGGGGGTTAAAGGGATCGTGAAGTCCGAACAATCGGTTTTAACTGCGATGGGAAAAAAGGAAACGTCTTAAAGGTATCGTTGCGGAAACAACGTATCGTAACGTTAAAGGGTTTGTGAAGGCAAATGAGAAGTTTAAAGGGACTGGTAGGACAAAACACAAGCTTTTAAAGACGATGGAGAGGCAGAGAGCGCCAGAGGGATAGAGAGAGGGAGAGAGAGAGGGAGAGAGAGAGAGAGAGAGCGAGAGAGAGAGAGGGAGAGATCGAAAGAGAGAGAGAGAGAGAGAGTGCGAGACAAATAAAGACTTCCAAGGTTAACTCTATTCGAATAGCGCCTATCGCAAAGGGGGCCGAGATTCCGGGGCGGAAGGCCCGGGCCGAGGCGCCGAGTGCAATAAATCTGGTGAGGAGGGGGGAGGCCGACTACCGTAACCCCCTGGCGGGTGCCTGGCGAGGCCACGCCCATTTTCCGGGGCGCTCCACGCTCTCTCTCTCTCTCTCTCTCTCTATCTCTCTCGATCTACCCAATCTCTAGCCTCTAAAAACACCTTCCTCCCTCCGGGAACTCACTCTCGGGCACCACTTTTTGTGAAAGCAGGCCGAACAAGTGGTGGGGGGGGAGCACGCGCGTAAAAAGGAGTGTTCCTGAGGGCTTGCGGCATGAATTTATGACGAGAGAGAGGGAGAGAGAGAGAGAGAGAGAAAGAGAGAGAGATATTGGTAAATCAATCGATTAAAGGGAATGGTAAGTAATTGATAGAAATCTCAAGGGAGGCAGGGTAGCAAAGATTCTTGAGGAGCGCGAAGGTCTAAAAGGTAAGGGCAGGCTGGCAGTGATTCTTTAGGAATCGGAAGCAACAAATTTACAGAAAAATGTCGAAGGAATTTTGAATCTCGAGGGGCAAATCTCGAGGTCGGCTAGCAGAGATTCATTGCGAAAAAAGCCGGTAATTTTATGCCTAGGGCAAGCTAGCAGAGATTATTTGCGGATCCGGAAGTCAAAAAAATGTATGGGCCGGCTAGCGGTGATTTTTAGGAAATGGAAAAAATTAGATTTTTGAGGCAGGCTAGCAGTGATGCTTCAGGACCGGATACAAAAATTACTTGGAGGTGTGCTAGCAGAGATTTTTTGGGAACCGGAAGTCAAAAAACATTTAAGGGCAGGCTAGCAAAGATTCTTAAAGAAAAACGCAACGGAAGACAATAAACGAGCTGCCACTTTGTGATTAACAAGTGCACCAACAGCCACTGGGAGATAAAGGGTCGGGTGGGTGCCCCCGGGGTATATTTTGAATCTGGCAGACCCCTTGTCGGCACCAATATCAAAACCACTGATCCATTTATATCATTTAAAAATAGTGGTTTCCCTTTATCGGGAGAATTAAGAGACGGATGGCAGACATGCCGACCACCCGTTTTGTAGCCCCGAGGCACGCTCCCTTTAATGCTAATTGAAGTGGGCTTTGGCGGGGGAATTAGAGGCAGAAAACCACCTGTTCGTGGAGAAGGCGCGCTAGCAGAGATGTTTCAGGAAACAGGGAATAACGGCTATAGAAAATTTAGGCAAGCTAGCAGGGATCTTTGAGGAAAAAGCAAAAAACGGCTACAGGCAAACTAGCAGAGGAAATTTAAGCAAAGCAGGTTCAAGAAATCAGGCAGGTTAGCAGAGATCGTTGAGTAAATAAGAGGAAATTCAGACAATTAAGGAAAATTTAGACTAACAGGAAATTAAGGCTGGCTAGCAGAGAAAATTGAGGAAATTTAAGCGAAGCAAGAAAACAAAATCAGGCGTGCTAGCAGTGATGATTGAGGAAACAATGCGAAATTTATCAAGAAAAAGCTAGCAGTTATCATTGGGGAGCATGTTAAACCTCGGCAAGCCTGCCCTTTCCTCAAGAATCTCTGCTAGCTTGCCAGCGTTGTAGACAAATAATAAATTGACGAAGGTTAAATAGGTTAATAAATGACTTCCCTAAGAATCTGTGCTAGCTTCCGCACCACAACAGGTGGTCGTTTCTGATAATTTCGCCGCCAAAGGAGATGATACCGGTGGTTGCTTGAATGTTGATGGACGACATTAAAGGGAACGTGCCCCCAGGGCCCGAAACTGGTGCTTGAAAGTCTGCCATTAGCCTATCAGTTCCCCAAAAGGTCCAGACAAGCGAGCAGGGATTCTTTCAGAAAGTTTCATTGACCTAATTTGCAAAATTTGCTAGGAGGAAAGCTGGCGAAGCTTAACAAATGAGACTGAAAAACTTGAAATGTAATTTTTCGCCGGCATCGTAGCTGTCGGGACCTAGTGGATCCAAGGTGTCGATTTTCAAGCTTGCTAGTCTCTTTAAGCGGCCTAAAATTTTACGAAATTTTGTGTTATGGCCCCTCGTGTAGCTGGTTAGACTTAGTCCATCGAAGGGACCGATTCTCACACTTTTTAGCCCTTTTCAAAATGCTGAAATATACGAAATGACGTGTTTTGGAGTGTCGCGTAGCTGTCGGGACCTAGTCGATTCAAGGGGACGAGTCGCGCGCTTCCCAGTCCCTTTAAAAACCCTGGAGACTTCTAATAATAAAAATCCGGATTTCTTTTCGCTGGTTTCGTAACTGTCGAGACCTAGTCGATTCAATTGTGGGTTTTCCAGGCCTCCTAGTCCCTTTAAAACCATGAAACATGTCGAAAAGTCGTATTTTGGAGCGGCACGTAGCTTTCCAGACCTGAGGATCTAGGGGGTCGACTCGCGCGCTTCCCGGTCCCTTTAAAGCCCTTTTAAAAGCCCTAATCAGCGCTATCATGCATTTTGGTGTTCGCCGTCCTTGGCTTAGAGAAACAAGACGAACGGAGAGCGTAGAGGCTATAAAATGACCGAAATTCGATGCAACCGGGGGGTTGGATGGAAATTTGGAAGTGTGGATGAGGGGAGCACGGGCTCTGCTACCTGTGAGCCCCCTCCTCCCGAATGCCCATTTGTCTTGCCCCCGGCCCGTTTATGGCCCTCCGCTCGCACCGCCTCGCAACATACCCCCACTTCCTTTTCTAGTTCTTTTCCAAAACTATCCTATCCACGTAGGAACGGCTTTTGTAAAAACATGGAAAGACCGGCTGCAAGGCCATTAAAAGCTGCAAAAAATTATTTCAGGAAAAAAAGTGTGTTTGCGCGGGAATCAGGACACGGATTTGGAAAGCTTGATCGAAGCCGGGGCGGGCTAGCAGAGATCATTTGGGAATGGAAGGGGCAGGCTAGCAGAGATCATTTGGGAATGGAAGGGGCAGGCTAGAGATCATTTGGGAATGGGAAGGGGCAGGCTAGCAGAGATCATTTGGGAATGGAAGGGGCAGGCTAGCAGAGATCATTTGGGAATGGAAGGGGCAGGCTAGCAGAGATCATTTGGGAATGGAAGGGGCAGGCTAGCAGAGATCATTTGGGAATGGAAGGGGCAGGCTAGCAGAGATCATTTGGGAATGGAAGGGCAGGCTAGCAGAGATCATTTGGGAATGGAAGGGGCAGGCTAGCAGAGATCATTTGGGAATGGAAGGGGCAGGCTAGCAGAGATCATTTGGGAATGGAAGGGGCAGGCTAGCAGAGATCATTTGGGGAATGGAAGGGGCAGGCTAGCAGAGATCATTTGGGAATGGAAGGGGCAGGCTAGCAGAGATCATTTGGGAATGGAAGGGGCAGGCTAGCAGAGATCATTTGGGAATGGAAGGGGCAGGCTAGCAGAGATCATTTGGGAATGGAAGGGGCAGGCTAGC